ACTACCTTTTTACTTGATGTGCTGATATGAGGTGTGGCAACTCGGACCGTTACGCAGTAATGCCTGGTCCTATGTTGATAATGATGATGATGATGACCAGGCTTATCAAGATTAAAATCCTATCAGCTGCATAATAATTTCCTCAAAGATGTAACCTTTGCTAAAGGCAGCTTAGATGTGATAAGTCTCGAAAGTACAATTCGCCAATAAACTGTGGTAGGGTATCAACATCAGCAACATATTGAACCGCCTTAGTTGGTGTCTAACAAAGTTGTGGTATTGGTATTTCTTCATTTCAAGTTTCATCCAAGTTCTACGGAATAAATTCATAAGATATCACTAAACCTCGCAAACTATCAGTGTTTCATGTACCTTTATTGTATTTATTGTTTATCGTGAATTCGTACTGTCTCTATGGTTGAGATTTAATTCTATAAAACTGTTGGTAAACGTATTCTACAGTTTTATACATCCTAGGAGTTCAACTATCTGTCTTTTTATTTATATAGAACAGTTTTCTACGGAGTTTGTCAACATATGCGGGAATTCTTTATAGCTTCAAACTGACTTCTAAGGTTACTCCGCCCCTTGATATAAAAACCAGTACCAGTTGGTCAGTCAGGCGGCGAAATGACTAAGAGGCATGTCATGCACATCAAGCTACCATTAATCACAACTCACCGTGTTGTCGGACAAATAAACTTAAAACTTTGCTAAGAAATGCATCTGTTGAGTTTGCTACACTACAACAATATGCAGTGCGAAAGTGAACGTAAAAAGAATGTTCCCATCCCCAAAGAAAAGATGTGAATAAAGACACAATAAGCAACTGAAAATTGAGTGTGCAACATCTCAGAAGTAACAAACAGTGTATACATCTGCGATATTATGGCAGATTTTTAACCCCATCACCAAAGGGTCTCCAATCATTGATTCCTGTCGTTTTGATGATATCAGCCAGGTACGTTTACCTGGACCATTTTGACCAAGTCAGAATTCGTAATTTGGTGCCACCTTTCGTTGTGTGGTTACATAATAGTTCTGTCATACGAACAATGGCTGTGAAACATGGCCATTGAAAGTGGAAGATATAAAAAGGCTTCAAGTGTTTGACCTCCATTGCCTTCGTAGTATAGGACGCATTCCGTGGTGTCACCACGTGAGTAATGCAGAAGTCAAGTGTAGAGTTTTAGGCAGTAGAGGTAAATCAGTTGACCAGGTTATGAACCTTCATCGACTGAGATGGTTGGGACACGTACTACGTATGCCTAGTCACCGATTGCCTCGTCACACAATGTTGGCTGAGGTGGGTGCAGGCTGGAAAAAGGCTCGAGGTGGCCAGACTAAACCATGGCACCAATGTATGAAGTCCCTGACTGTTGGTTTAAGTCATGTGGGGGCAATGCAGACTGGGTGGTTGGGGTTGGTGGGACAAGAGGAACCAGTGGTTGGAGACTGAGTCTAGATGATATGGCTGAGAACCGATGTCAGTGGCGAAGATGTATCCCCACACACATTATCCTCATCTTAACTACACTATATCGAATCTCACCATTTTGTCACTCCTGTTTCCTTTCTTCTCGTACTTTATATTTCTTTTGACTGCATTCACTTATCTTCATCCTTCACCTCACTACCTTTCTACTTGATGAACTGATATGAGGTGTGGCAAGTTGGACCGTTACGCAGTAATGCCTGGTTCTATGTTGATAATGATTGATTGATTGATGCTATAGAGACATCTGTAGTCTAAAACCTGCAACCTCTCCTCGTCTTATGCTTCCATCAGTCGTGTCTCACAGCCACATAATAAGACAAAGTAGACTGTTGTGCGCCATACTCTTCTTTTCGCATGTAGTTGGATATCACACTGATGTCACTTAGAAAATGTCAAACGGGTCTTTTGCATCCGAATTCAGATTTCGTCAACAACTAGTTCTTGAGAGCTGATGCAACTTTTCTCACTTACGTGAAGTAGTTAACGCATTCCACTGAGCTGCCTGACCATTGCATCCCTCTTTAGGCATGAAACCTTTCTCATTTCCCTGGGCTTTTGTTCTCGGAGCTGTGGCTCTGGTTTAAGGAAATGGTTTTCTATCAATGGGTCGCGGGTTCGAACCCTGCTCCGTCTAACAAGGTTTTGGCAACCGGTTGGTATCATTAACCCTCACACGATAGATTTAGCTCACTGCCTACTGCGCCAATGTGCACAAGCTTGCTGAGTGGATTTTGATTTTGAATTTTCGATCCGATTTTTATTCTCCACCTTCAGCTGGGTTTCAGTAGACTATGAATCCCCAGATCTTATATGCTGTTACACAGACTAATTGCTTGTCTCTGTTGTATAAAGATTTTTCTCCTTTTAAGCCTAAACGCTCAACTGTCTAGAACACTGACGGAATTACTTCTGATCCCAAAACACCAGTCAGTATTTCAGTTGCTTTAATCAATGAATATCCGCTTACCACCCAAACACCCTGATATGACCAAAGACAGGATGATCCCGGTTATCTTTTAGAAACAACCTCATATGGTCACACGTTTGTAGCTCCTACTAAGCAAGTTCTATTCGCTGCCTATACGTAGCGCAGGTATTTACACAAAGATGAGAGCGAATCTGGATGTCCGGCGCTTGTAACCGGGTTGATGGATGTAGATCGTCCAGGTTACAGAGGTCGGTAAATCCTGATTCGTTCGTTTGTTTGTCGTTTCGTTTTGATTCCAGACCAATGGTGCACATATGCTCCAGGATCTAGTATGGCAGAATGGCGTACGAACGTATGCTGGTCACTGGCAACCATCGTAACGCATTACCTTACATTCCGCTGCTCGTGGATCAAGCTTCAAGTCCAAGGTTGGGGGAGTTGTCCTCTAAGAAAACTGTCTGCTTCTGCCCTTGTATTCAGGCAGTATGACAGTCCTCATACACACTGGGAAACACCTAGCATAGAGCCTTCGAAGTGCTGGGACAATCTATCTGCATGGAACCAAATTCAATGTGTGACGAGCTTTCTACTCTCATTCAAATTATTATCTTTTTTATTGTTATTTCTACATACGAACAGAACATTTTTCTCGTAGTCATCTTACTACGTTTAATGTGTATACTTGTCTCACTCAGTTGTCTAGCAAGAGTTGAAATTCTGATCGAGTGTGCCTGTTGGAGTCGGTTAGCTTTGCTTCTATGAAGTTCGTATTGTACGCCTGTGAAACATGGCTCCTCCAAGTAGGTAAATGTGTAGGGGCTATGGGCATCTTCGCACTATTCTTCCTGTGTGGTGCAATCACTGTGGGCAATTTCTAGGTTAAATGTAGAGTACTGAGCAAGAAATGCAAGTTGCTGAACTTCAACAACGGAGGTAACTTGGAAATGCGTTGTGCATGCTAAGCCCCTGCTTACCTCGGTTCGTGATATTAATGGAAGTAAAATCGGGTTAGAGTAAGACTAAAGGTGGCCAAACCAATAAGTGACATCAGTCGATGAAATCTTTGACTGATGATCTGAACTGTTCTTAAACAAAGTGGTGAACGATCAATCATCAGTGGTTAGTGGTGATCAAAAACCACAGAACGTATGTCCAACTACGTCTTTCATAATACGGACCAATTTTCGTAGCATCAAAAAGGCTATGCGTGACTAGCCTAAAGCAGATGTCGCCTGGGTTCTGCGGTCATGCACTAACCCTTTTTCAAGTACTTCAACAAGACCTAACCTTCCACGGTGTAGGAAGCCGGACAGTGTCAACCGCCCTCACAACGCTGTCAGCGCTCAAGTTCCCTCAGACCACTATCCACCTTCATATCTTCCAGTTAACAATCTTACATCATCTTTAATTTCTAGCTTTTTAGCTCTTGACAACGATCTGAGTCCACAAAACAGCATCCTGGTCTCCTTAAACCACACTAAATTACTGATTAAAGCCTTTAATATCAGCAGCCCCCGTCAACTTGACCAACGAGCTTCATTGGCCAAAACTCTAGCAATTCAAACCATAAATGTGTTCTGTTTGTGAGACTCGTATACAGGACCCAAGTGCTGTTATTCACTTAACCTGTCCCGGCCAATTTGGTGAGTGCACAAAACTCACTCTTCTAGTTTCTGGAGATCCGACGGCTAGTTCTTACGGTCTTGCAGGTGTAGACATAGCATTAAGGATTAGAGCAGAAAGCTCACTACCAGACTGAATCCCAGTTGATAGTCGCCTATGCTCTGTCTGGCTGAACGGCATAATGAAAACTTAAAGGAACTGTGAAACTCTCCGTTATCTCTTTGTAATTTCTGCTTACGCACCCACTGACTGCAGTTTGGATGAAGTAAAGGGCGAGTTATACCGAAAACTGTCTTGCCTCCTGAAAACCAAACGTTCAAACGTGGTGGTTGTTATAGGTGGTTTAAATGTACAAGTGGGTAGGTTGAGTCAGACAGAAAGGCACTTAGATGGCACTTTCGGAATTCCGGCTGAACGGACAAATAACGGTGATCGTTTACTACAACTGTGCTCAGATAACCGTTTATTTCTAGCTAGTACAAACTTCAGACATAAAGAAAGGCATTGCCTAACGTGTCATCCACCAAACTCAACTCAACGATGAGCACAGACAGACCACATTGCTATCAGTCATCGCTGAAGAGGGTTGGTGAAAGACTGTCGCTTCTTCTGGAGCACGCGTTCGAATAGCAACCACGCATTCGTTTGACTGCGTCTATGTCCGCTTCACAACGGATGTTGAAAAACTTTGGCAACAAGACCATTATGAGTGTCGCTCGACAATGAGAGCATTAAGACTGCTCTCAGTGAAAAATTGGCTAGGGAGTTATTGGAATAGAACACTATCATTCATCCAGAAGAATCTTGGTGGTATCTCCAGTTTGCTGTAAAAACAACTTTGGAAACCGTAACCGAATCTCAGAGAGCCAGTGAATATCATCAGCTTCTGAATTAATGGATGCACGTGAACGCATCCCTACAGGCTTTGAGTACAATGAGGAGCGAACATAACTCAAATGTAGAATGGCTAAAAGCCTACGCAATGATCGCGAATAGTGGTTGACAGCGATAGATAAAAAGAGATGGAAAAGGTAGCGGTGATAGATAACAGCAGACAGTTATTTAGACTTATTAAGGAAACTGGGGCTAAAAAGTCAACGGTTAGGAAAACTGTAGTGGAGAAGGATGGGTCTGTGATTCATTCGCAGGGAAGACGACTGGAACGATGGGCAGAACACTTCAAGGAACAGTTTAACTGGCCTTCAGCTACTATCGGGTTACCCGCTATCCAGTCGAGTCCTGAATGGAACATTGAGATGGGCTACCCAACACTTGCAGAATTCGAGAAAATGGTAGGTAACTTGAAACGAGGAAGGGCAGCAAGACCAGACGGACTAGTTCCTGAGGTATATAATGACCGTAGAAGTGTTTTTAATCAATTTAACCAAAGTGTTGACTAGTGTATAGGAGTCAAATATGATCCCCCCCTGACTGGTCTCAATTACTGATTATCCCGGTCTTCAAGAGAGGCAAAAAGTCCTCTGAGAAAAAACTAAAGAGGAATCAGCCTGACAAACATAGTGTCTACGACTCTAGGTTCTATAATCATTAGACGCCTGGATGGAGTTCGGAAACAGCAATCCCGAGAAAACCATGCAGGTTTCAGACCTGCCCGTCGTTATATCGATCAAGTATTCACACTCTGCCTAGTACAACACCCTGTTGAAGGTGCTTTACTCGAACACCTGTGGGCGCGTTAGAGCCTATGGTGAGTTGTGTACGTCGAGTAGTGTCCGTCAAATATACCCACTCTCTCCATTCTTATTCAATTTTATCATAAATGTTCTGATGGAGGTTGGCTTTTGCCAACTTACGCCATCTGTGGAACTGCCGTTATATCCGTCAGTTGATGCGGTTGTGGCCTTTCATCGACTGAGGTGGTTAGGACATGTGTTACGCATGTCTAACCACCGCCTGCCTCGTCGCACAATGTTGGCCGAAGTAGGTTCAGGCTGGAAACTAAAACATGGCATCAATGCATGCAGTCCTTGTCTGTTTGTTTGAGTCATGTGGAACAATATAGACTAGCCGGTTTGGGTCTGCAGGACAAGAGAAACCAGTGGTTGAAGATTATAGGTGATATGGCTTAGAACCAATGTCGGTGGCGCAGATGTATACACAAATTATCCTCATCTTAACTGCTATATCTAATCTTGTCATTTTCTCATTCCTCATTCCTCTTTTTTGCTAATTTCTACTGCTTTCGATCGATTTTTATTGCCTTCTTCACTTTCCATTTTATCGCCTTGTTACTTGATGTGCTGATATGAGATGAGGTGTGGCAACTTGAACCGTTGCGCACTGATTCCTGGTCCTATGTTGATTTTGATGGTGATGATGATAGAAAAGGTTCTAGATGGCCAAACCAAGGCTTTGCGCCAGCCCATTAATTCCATGATTGTTAATTTGAGCCATGTGGTGAGATGTAGTCCACCCAGCTGGGTTCTTCAAGACGATAGGAGTCATTGGTTCAGTACTCTTCGTGACATGGCTGAAAATTAATCACAGTAGTGCAGATGTATTCATACTTCGACTTTTTCTTGGGCTTCAATATTTTTACTAACCTTCACTTTCCAATATCTTTTCCCATACACCTTTTTATACTCTGATATCGGTCTTTTTCTACCAACCTGTGCTTTGGATGCTACTGTGAAATGTGGCAGCTTAAACCGATGAACTTCTGAGCGAGGTTCTGCCTTGTTTATTGTTTGCCTGAATTACGTGGAAAAGAGCTTGTGACCAAAATAAGAGAACCAGTATCAAGGTTTGGTGCTGGTTTTTTTGGCGGAAATACCTTACGACTGTCTCACCCCCTACGACAAGCAATACAACTTCGCCCTCGGACCTCCACACTAGTTAAATTATTTACACTAGGATGGTAGCTGCTTTTAGTTTCACTACCATCCATCTTTCTGATATAACAAAACGTCAAGGAACAATCGTTTCATCTAGCAGTACTCATCGCGATAGGCAAACCGAGGCACGTTGTCAAGGTAGCAGCTCTCTGGCTATGTGAATATTCACAATATGAGCTACGGATATTTTTCGTTGTAAAGTGTAATTCATTAGTCGAAGGGTTTGATTTTCAACCAGTAGGATGCATTTTGGAACCGTGTCTGGCCTGTCGAGGTCCTGCCAGCCAAATAATGTCGTTAACAACCCACCTTAAACAATTGGTGTGGTTCTTTACCGAGTGCAAGAGCCTTCATGTCGTCGTTCGGCTATATTACCATTCTTTCGTGCCAATGATGTTTGGAGAATTCTACTTTCTTAAGAATGTTTCATAGCTCCACCTTTTCAATACTTCAGTAATGCTTAGACTGTTCTTTTTTTCTCCAAGATCGTAACGATGCAGGGAGTACCTCTGGTCTTGTTTCCACTTCTAATGGAGGGTGTGCACCGACTGGTCTCCCTAATCCTTTTGCGAATGGAGCACCAAAATTGAAGCCTGTTGGCTCCTTAGATACTTCTCGTAATCCAGCACCGAATCCATTCACAAAGCAATCTGCGTATGGATATGCGAAAAATCCTGCACCACCACCTCCACCACCTCTATCTGCCCCACCACTGTCTCCACCTCAAACACCATCTGTATTTCAGAATGTTATCCCTTCAGATGTACCTTCAACAACACCTTGTGCAGTTTATCATCGTCCGAATCTAGTGTCAAATGGTATTACAGTAAGTTGAACTTTTCATCCTTTAAATTTTGTAGCTTAACTGTGTGCTTAGATTAATCCTGTAGTGTTTCGAGTTTGTGCTCTGGATTTCTTATTGATTATCATATAGTTCAACTGTTCAAGTTCTCAGTGCACATTTTTGTAGTGCTGCTAACTATTACTTGTTAGGTTTTTAGTTTAGAACTGTAATACTTCACACTTATTGCACCCATTGTTATCTCACTTTCAGAATCTTCATATGCATTATTTCTCCCACTAATGTTTTAGATTTTTACAACAAAAGTTCATCCACTACTAGTAACAAGAAGTTTCAAGCAGTAATTAGTTCTAAAACGCTAGTAAAATTATTGTCGCTAGCTAAAATTAAGAAGATAAAGCATGGATAGTGTATGAACAAGGTTTTTATCTTTGCAACTAGTAAATACCGAAGATAAACGCTTAGCATATTATCAGTATCCTACCTCCTTACATAGAATGCGTTTCCTTGAATTTGCTTTTTTAAGGAGCTACAATGTGTGGTAGGGGAACATCACGTTGATGAAGACTGCCTACATGCACTTTCCCAGTTATTCAGGTTCTCATACGACTGTATTATCCACTCCTCAATCAACGAGTGATGTTATTCAAAGTTACTCACTCTTTCTACACTCATCCGACTTTCTTATTTGCATCTTAATGAAAGGCAACTGTCTATGTCTGTGAATTCTCCGGGATTGGGAGTCACTGTGGTCAGTTGGATCAAATGAAGACAAAATGACCGTGTTGATATACAAATTCTTGGTGTGATTTCTAGGATATCTCCGGCAATTTCACTTCATTAATAATGAATGGCACCTAAAAATGGAACCTCTTGGGCATGCTTCATCTCACTACATACCCACCACTAAAAAGTGTACCTGCCCTTCCTGTGAGTTCCACTCACAGTAGAAATAACACTCATTGTGAGGTAGATGAATCCACGTAACGAATCCACAGTAGGATAAAGCACGCAACCTAGATTCCACTGATAGCTACTACTCATTACCATTAAGCGGAAATATTGTCAAAAGTCACAGTATCTTTCTTTTTAGGTAAACGATTTGCGAGTGTTCAACATGTTCTTGGTATGGTGAGAAATAATGTCTAATGATTGATAACACACATACAAAATCAACGAGAACCTCACACAGGTGCATCACTTCAAGTTGCCACACTTCACAGAAGTATACAAAGAACAAGTGGGTAGAAAAAGACTGATATCAAAGTAGACAAAGTTCTGTGAGAATAAACAATCTGAAGATAAAGGCTAGTGCAAATATTTAAGCTTTAGAAGATGTCAATGAGTGAATACAACTGCACTATTGTGACCGATTTTCAGCCACGTCACCAAGAGTCTACAAGCATTAATTCCTCGCATCTCACTGGCTCCAACCAGATAGATAGTCAACATCTCCTCACACGCGTCAAACTAACAGTAGGAGATTTCATCGACTGATGGGATGGCAACCTTGAAACCTCTCCCAACCTTATCCAACTTCCCATAGCATAGCACATAGAGGTAAGTGGTGGCTTGACATGCGCAGTAATATGTTCAAGCTATCTCAGTCAACTAACGTTCACAACCTCGTCAACCAACTTACCTAATACCCTTCGCCTAACTTCCACACTGTTCACAAGGTAATTCCACTAAACGCGAGCAATACTACGAGGAGATATGTGATTAAAACCCAGTAATCTCTTCATGTCTTCTACTTTCAATGGCCATGTCTCACAAAACAGACCAAACTGCAGTACGGTATACTCGTCTTTTGATAGGTAGTCGGATATCTCGCCAGTGGGCGTCACAGATGACGCAAGTTGGTAAATGCCTCACGGGCCTTGTGTATCCAAGCTGAGATTTTGTCAGCAACCTGTCAGCCCGTTTGGGCTGATGCAAGTTCCCAAGTGAGTGAAGTGGTCGACACATCCCATCACTTCACTCTCTATCATCAAACTGGGAGTCGTTGCAGACCAGACCTAAAGCATCATCTCATATTTGACAGGTGCCAGTGAAAAGCATGCCAAATATACTCAGATTTCTACTCAACGCGTTCAGAAGACCCTACATTTCGTCGGCGTCTTCACCCAGCAGGACAATATCATCTACATCCTCCAAGTCAACCAGATAACATGGAGAAAGTAAATCAATCCCTGTAAAGTCAGACATACCTAAGGTTATGTCCATTATGACGAAGTTAAACAGGAACGGTGACACCACTATTTGTCATTAATTCAGACGACAACTCTCCATATGCCCTTATGTATGACTGTGTGAGTTCGAGTAAAGGGTCTTGATAAACATAATGAACTTGCTTGATTTCTAAGTATAGACTGTAGCAGAATCAATGAGTCACTCTTCATAACAGTTTAGTTTTTTTGTTCGTCTCCTAAACTTCACTTTGTGGGTATCTTGTTGAGAGTTATATCACTAGTTTTTAATACTAGTCGTGTAATTGTTTTTGTTGCTAGCTGCAGAAACTGACAACTTGTCCAATGCTAAGTGCTATGCATACTGCTAAGATTGAAGGTAGTAATGTCTTTTCGGATGGTACAACCTTTTTTGTTGTCTTGTTAATAATGAGTCGTGTTTTGTGAAATGAAGCTCTTCGTCACTACACTAATAATGATAATGTTAATAATAATAATAATAATAATAATAATAATAATAATAATAATAATGTATCTACTTTCTTATCTGTTCACTAATCTAACCATTTTAGTAGTAATAGTAGATTGTTGCATTTTTCCTCGTTAGCATCTAACTGAAGGTTTACTTTCGCACATGGAACGTTGTGTATTTTCACATTGAAATAAGTTTATTACACTAGTATTGATATGGATACGTTTTTCCCCATCTATCACCGTAGGTATTCACAGTTTTGTTGTCTTTAGTCTTTTCATTATAATTTTTTTTAAAATAAATAAAATTTATCTACTTCTGTGAAGGCTATTCGTAATGGACCACCACCGCCTCCGCCACCACCACCAACTCCTGCTAGACCATCGATTTCCAGAAGTGATTCTAATTACCATAGGTACGATTCTTATAGGAAGTCATCCGTTGAAGTTAGCCAACCAAGCAAAAATATTATGCCAAGCTCAGTACAAGCTGTCACACATTCATCTATACCGATATCACCTACAACAGCGTCAGCAATAATGAATGATTACAATAATAACACCAAAAATCACAGTGTTAGCGTTAATAGTAGTAATACTAATGGGGATAATGCTGCTACACCTCCACCCTCATCTGGACGGTCTCCGCGACGAAAGCAAAGTAGTTCGAATCGTTACCAGGTAAGTAGCTGTGTTTTGATTCGTTTTTATCTGTTATCCGCGTATATTCTTCTGTAGTTTTTCGCTGATTTTAAAACCATTTCACTGCGTCTTCTTAGTGTTCTTTTTTTTCCTCACTGTACTAACTAAATAACTTTATGCATCATATTGCACGATTTTGGTTGACCACTCTCAACCCTATTCTTTGTGTTAAAAACTGTTTGCTTATCTAATCTAGATTAAGTTTTCTGTTTGCTTATTTGTTTTTAGCTCTTTGTCTGTACTACGTGAATACATGAACGTATTGTTGTTTTTCGCGTCTATTTATGCAGAGAGTCGGTTCAACGAATACAGATGTAAATGGTATACCTATTGGACAGTCAACTAAACTGATACGTATTTCATCAGGTTTAAATGGCAGTTCCAATGAGCAAGCACCATCGCCGGCTCCATCATTGCCGTCATCAGTTTATGATTTGAGCGTGGTAAACTCACGTGCTCATCCGACACCACCACCACCACCACCGCCACCACCAACAGCAGCACCTCCTTCAATGAGTGAATTCATGAATAACAATACTAACAATAGTATAGCTAGCCTTATTCGTCATTTTGAAAGTCGTTTCAACTTTCCTGATATTGGAAACGTTCCTGTACCGAAACCTTATCATGGTCCTAAGACTTACCGAAGCCACACCAGTGGTAATATAAATGATGGACTTCGTACTCAAGGTGAGATATCTTCTTCCGGTGTAAATTTGGTTTTACTTTTATACACACACTCGAACATGTATACACATATATTCTCTTTTTATACCTTTATGAGATAAGAAAACGTAGGATCCCTTAAAGAAGTCCCTAAAGAAATCAGATGTGGGAACAACATAGTTGAACAACATCAAGAGAGTAGGAAACAATCATATACCGATGAACCATATTCTCATAAAATGTGAGGAAAGGTGAAAAGTGAACGGCAAACACTATCATGATTAATTTTCAACTATGGCATTAAGCTATTCTAACTAGAGACTTTTAAGATCCTAAGCTTATTTTAGTCAGGAAACCTATACTGTGAAACATCCAGAAACTTCAGAAATCGCTTCCGTTTTTAGGTGTGCTCACATGTTCTAGTCATGTTTGTCAATGAAAGTCCAAAGAGCCACTGACCTCAATTACCTAGAAATTTTCATTTAACTTCATTACTCACTCAGTGATTGTAGCATACACAAACGACTTAAACACACTATTATTGACTAAGTGCATTTAAGTTGGTATTCATCATGAACTGACATCAGTTGAAGAAACATTGGAAACGTGGGAGCAATAGACAACTGTTTTGTCCTAGCATGGGACTCCTCAGCAGCGCGCACCAATGACCCCGCTGCGTTAGGGATCGGACCCACGACCTTTAGTTTCCATGGCCAGCACGTTACCATTGAACCACTGGGAAGAATCCAATGATCCATTTTTCCTACTTTTATCAGTTCACGAGGTAACGCATCACCCAATGTCATCGTTGAGTATTTGTCCTCACGGTGGCCAGGTTCGCCCTACCGGTGACGACTTGTCATTGGAACTTGAGGAATCACCTGTGGAAGCTAGTCACCAATGCACACTGGATCAATTTAATTTGGAGGTGTGGGGGGATTCTAATGATTTTTCAAGTTGGTATTCACCATAGACTGACAGTGGGAAGAAGGTTGGAAACTTTGGAGCACTGGATAACTGTTTCGTCCTGGTATGGAACTCTTCAGCAGTACGCACCCATAACCCCTACCAGGGGCAAACCTGGTGGCCGTGAGGACAAATACTCAACGATGATATTGGGTAATGCTCGGGGTATGTCGTAAACTGACGAAAGTTTGGCAGATAGACCAGCAGATTCTGACCCAGTGGCTCAATGGTAACGTGCTGACCACGGAGCCTGTTGGTCCTGGGTTCGATTCGTGATAGGGCGGGGTCATAAGTGCGCGCTACTGAGGAGTCCTATAGTAGGATGAAACAGCTGTCCAGTGTTCCGAGGTTTCTAATGTTCCTCTAACTGATATCAGTCTGACAAATATCAACTTGAAAAACCACTGAAATCCTCACAGACCCCAAAGTTTAGGTGCATTTAGTCTTCCTAGGTCGTTGATTTCTGATGATCATATCTAGTAGCTATAAGGTAAAACGGTGAATTGTCACCGATTCTATTCATCATGCAATCAGTACTTGGTTATCCTGCTTGCATTGCGTATGCTTTATCCCTGAATCGTTTTTGTAACACAGGTTATAGAACTCCTACATCTTTCGCCTTAGGGTTATTTTAAAACAATAAGGGAATAATGCTTTTAAACCCAATTCGTTCAATTTCATAAGTTTTTTCGACAGTTATTATCGGTTTGTGATTTATACAACATTCATCATAAACCACTCTTAATGGCGTATCAAAAGTAGTCACTCTTGAATATATAGTTCATTCACATAATGGGATAATGTAGGTTATTTAGGTTAGATCGGTAAGTAATGTAACATCAGTTGGTATCTGAGGCTGACATATGCACATGTTTTACTAGATCGAATTGTTTGACCTCTATTAGCATATGCTGATGCATCGATATTGTGTGAATATTTATTATGACAATTTACTTGGTTGTGGCTAGTAGGAGAATCGAGGATGCGCATTTCGCGCTATTTGGGACTTGTCAGTGAGATGTACCTGTACTCCAGTGAGGGTTGTTGTCCCCACTTGGACTCGAACCTTGTATCCATCGCTTAAAACGCCAAGATGTTGTCCACTAGGCCACGGTATCACGATAACCACCTCTTGTACAACTGGTGGCTATCATCGTCATCTAGTTGATGAATCCCGAATAGGATGAAACGCGCAGCCTGGATTCCTTTGCTAGCCACAGCCAAGTAAATTATCATAATGTATAAGCCGATTTTTATTTTCCAGTAGAAATGATTGTCATTTTCACTTACCTTTTGATATGAATTTCACTTTTTGTTTTGGGATTTTTTTACTTCATATGTAGTGCCTCATAGAGTTGCTCCTTCAGCACCTAGAAATTACTAACTATCTCCTGCAGATAAACACTAGATATGCGGAATCTAAATTCTACAGTTCAATCTACAATTTTACTATTTCCACTGGAGTATTATCAGTTTAATAAAACCGCTGGTCAGTTTTCTACTCTGATTTGCTTATTTTCGACTGTTTTCTGTCAATTGAAAAAAAAACAAAAACAAACATTTTTGTGCTTGTTTATACTCTGGTACACATGCCTGCAGCATGCACACATATCCATACCTTGAAGTGCCTTGAAGTTTTTGTTAGTAGTCTTATACAATTTTACTTGAATGGTAAGAGTGATGATGATGATGATGATGAACATAGACATTTTCTATCATTTTCAACGATTATTTATTTACCTTACCATCTTTTTTTCTCCTTTATGATCATGTAATGACCCCCCCCCCCATCGATTCACTAATCCATTTGTTGTGAAGAATTTTGGATAAATTTTGCCTGTGATCCAGATGTTGAATTCTGTCTCCATTTTCTCCCTTCTTTCTACACAATATGCATATTAATTCAATCTGACTGATGAAAGATGATAACTACTTGGTAGTCTTTGGACCTTGTCATATTCTGATTTATTTTTACTATATCATAACTCTTTTGTATACGATTATCTATTTCAGTATTATTATTTATTTATTTTTCTCGCTAAGAAAAGTATTTTGCCTATTGTAATAATATTAATTTCATAATAAGAAAGAAATACCTAATGTTTGATGGACAACCAGTTTGTTAACCGGAAAGAAGGAGATTGTGTAAAAGTAATTTTGAAGAGAAAAAAAAAATACTTTTTCTGTTCATCTTGTCTTTTGTTTTCGCGTAAATAGAGCATAGTTTTGAAGGTTTCTAGCTAGTTAGCTAGCTAGCTGGTTTTGTTAATCAGTTCTGTTCGTTGTGTTTAGTTTTCTTCGTGTCTAAATTTTGTGTTTCGCTTATCGTTATTGTCTTGATTTCTCTCTTGTTGAGTGAATGAATGCTTAGTGATGAGTGTTTGACAACAATAATAATAATTACTATTACTTTTGTGTGAATTCTGTTAGCCTGTAGTTTATGATTATGCTTTCCATTTTGCCTTTTCAAATTGACTGATTTGAATATCAGCTAGTGGTTGTTGGGTCTGATCTTTTAAGTATAAAAATATGTAACCCAGCTACTATATATATATATATTCAAGTACACACTAGACAGTGAACCCTTGCCTTATTGTGCGGTTGATGATGATGCTACCAGACTGTGCTAACCACGGTAAGTGGGACTGAATTTGAACCTGTGAATCAGTCACTGTCGGGAGCATAGACTAATGCACCACGACTTCAGTTTCTAGATTCCCACAATCGATCAAATGGCATACTGTGTTACAATCTGATGTCGAATCTTTCGACGTCAACATTAGTACTCACACACTAGGTGCACTATGTAGCTTAATACACTTCTTACCTGCATGTTGTGATTATATAACCCATCGCCACTTGAAATATGAGTGATACAATCTAAAAACATCCTCCGTTGCGGAATATGATACTTGTTGATTTTTTACGCTAACTACATAAAAGTAACCAACTTTATGTGATAATCTCGATTATTCTAGTATCAGATCTGACAACACAAATGAGTTTAACTCAGTCCAATAGTTTAGTGTAGACAAAAAAAGTTGTTTATTGTGCTGTAGGTATCCTTAAGCTTTTTTATACCAAATTCGCTGTGGAATTCGGATTTGGTTAGGCTTAAGTCATACTCACTTATCCATAGATCCTGAGTTATCGCTGTCATGCTCTCTTACGTTATCATTTCAGTTGACTAAGGTTCACAACCTCATCAGTTGACCTACCTTTCCTGCCTAGTACCGTTCGGTTAACCTCGAACCACCAAATGCGACCAATGCTGCGAGGATACCTATGATCAAAACCCTATAACCACTTCTGATTTTGATGGCCATGTTTCACAGTCGTACGGCAGAACAGAGCAAAGTGCACTGCAGTACGATCGACCCTTAATAGGTAGTCGAATGTCATGGCGGTGCGATGTGTGACGTAAGCTGACAAAAGCCGACAGTTTTTTGCATCTGTATAGAGATTTTGTCGGTCACTGACCAAAGAGAACTGGTCTGACGTTTCAAGTAAGTGAAGTGGTCAACTCAACCAATCCCTTTACGCCTCACCGTAAGATGTGGGGCTAACATGCAGCGTTCTTGGAACACTTTCCATTTGGGTGGTGAGAAACGCATTCCAAATAATTTTAGATTGCTCATCATCAACATGAACATAGGACCCAGGCATTAATGCGTAACGGTCCGAGTTGCCACAGCTCATCAGTACATCAAGTAAAAAGGCAGTGAAGTACAAGATGGAGATAAAAAAATTCAGTCAAGAGAAATGTAAAGTACGAGAAGAAAGAAAGGAAGAATGACAAAACGGTGAGATTCGATATAGTGTAGTTAAGATGAGGATAATGTGTGTGGGGATACATCTTCGCCACTGACATCGGTTCTCAGCCATATCATCTAGACTCAGTCTCCAACCACTGGTTCCTCTTGTCCTGCGGACCCCAACCACCCAGTCTGCATTGCCCCACATGACTTAAACCAACAGTCAGAGACTTCATACATTGGTGCCATGTTTTAGTCTGGCCACCTTGGGCCCTTTTCCAGCCTGCACCCACCTCAGCCAACATTGTGTGATGAGGCAATCGGTGACTAGGCATACGTAGTACGTGTCCCAACCATCTCAGTCGATGAAGGTTCATAACCTGGTCAACTGATTTACCTCTACTGCCTAAAACTCTACACTTGACTTCTGCATTACTCACGTGGTGACACCACGGAATGCGTCCTATACTACGAAGGCAATGGAGGTCGAACACTTGAAGCCTTTTTATATCTTCCACTTTCAATGACCCACCAGGGCTGATCCTACTTCCTAGGTAAGTGAATTGATCGACACATTCAATCACTGCATTCTCTATTGTTATCCGTGGCACCGTTGAAGACCAATCCTGGAGCAACAATTCGCATCTTCACCTGACAGGACTATATATATCTGGGTCCACTAAGGAATCAACTGTAATAAAATCAATTCTAGTAAAGTCGGTTCCCAGTATGTGTAACTGTGTTCCAGAACCTCGTCAAGGTGGAGCATCTGGTTGGTAAACCCATGGCAAGCCTCAAATCCAACCCGGTTTCTTCAGGTTCATTGTTCCAAAGCATCGCTTAGATGTCTAATGGTTGTAGAACCTAGAATTTTAAGCTTTTTATTTGCTATACTGAATCCCCCGTGGTCATCACAAGAGGATTTATCGCTGTTGTTTTGAAGACTGAGATAATCAGTGATTGAGACCAACCAGAGGAGATTGTTTCTGATTCCTACACGGTAGCTAGTGCTCAAGCTAACCTGAACAATAATCCTCGACCACTGTCCTTAAGTGTCTTTGGTACTAACCCATCTGGCTCTACTCCCGTTCCTCGTTACCATATATTCAAACTGACTGTATGTGTGACCGTATTTTATAGGTATTGAATGTAACGGTTATAGAAGAGGGATAACTATTGTTCTCAGGACATTGTTCTTTAGTGATTATTTCAAATTCTGGTTTCTTCTTTATGACGATATTCACTCGGACACGCAAACGCAACTTTATTATGATCATCGTTTGACTATCTGAGAAAGCTGTAGTTTGGCAGACTAGTATTTATACTGGGTGATGATTAAAGGTGAAGTTGCTCGACTTCGTAGCTCAGTTGGCAGAGCATCGGGCTGGAAACCCGCTGATCTCTAATTCGAATCCGGCGGCGGTCCAAATTTTCATTTTACCTTCAGTCATCACCCAGTATTTATGATGGTCATTTGAAAATATGGTATACCATCAATGTGTCGAATTCTCGTTCCCATCGTTAGAGCTTAATATGGGGATTGGATGTGTATGAGAAATTATTCGGAAAAGTTGGTAACTTGATGCATAGTTTTCTGAATTTTTTGGTTTCGGTGATTTATTTGAAATAAGATTAGTCATCATGCAATGAAATTTGTAACAATATTCTGAGGTGTACCTTCTCATGAAGATGAGGTATGCAGATCATCAGTGTAAGTGGTATCAGATTGTTGTGTCGATTCGGTAGAATTTCCGCGCAAGCTATCTGGACGGAACTGAGATTAAATGCAAGTTAGCTCATGCACTGAGGGATAATATCGAATAAATCAGACAGTCAAAATCAACGTAGAACCTCGTCTTTTAGTGCATCGGTTCAAGATACCATAATTTTGGTCTTGTGACTGCTTAACTGTATGAATTTGTCAGTTCTAGGTTCACTGGAATGACTGCTTCTTGGTATTAATATCATGGTTATTATTGCAGTTTTAAAAACCATTTCTGTTTCTATGCCAGCTAAACTTCACCGACGAATTGGTTGGGTTGCAATGAGGCACATATGCTTGAAAACGGTGTACACAACTGGCCACACATTCTTGTTAACGGAAAAAGCTTCAAAGTCCCGGGTGTCTAACTGGTATCTGCTTAACAGAAATGGGAGCGAGTGCCTGGCCTTGGTTATCCCACCAAGATCGGCCGTACATCACACATCACTCTACTAATACCAACCCTTCCTCCCACCGCAGTTAAAAGGCGGCGCCCTGGCATTTCAGCCCTTACTGTCTGTTCGGTTAGAAGACGGTTGACCAGGTTCAGCGGTCAATCGGCGACTGCATCTGAAGCTCCATGCTGCAGCCAGTAAGGATGTTGCAAGCCTTATAGCGACCACTGGTGCAGTCACCGGAGTGGACCTCATCACTGAACTGCAACCCATGCCAGAGATATAGGCAAGCATTCCGGCCAGCTTGATCCTAATGATAGGTCACTCAGCCTTCATCATACTTCGCATACCTCATGAGATGCACACTATGTCATCGCCCATGACATAGCAAATAGCTTATCGCTTTTGACATACTTATCCAGTAAGCAATACTTTTTGATTGTGTGATCCATGTAGTAAACAGAATAAAATGGAACTTACATGAGAATACTTCTCTGAGGTAAATTGCGGCGTGTAGATTTTTATTTCTAACCGTCACACTAGGATGGAACAGCTATCAGATAGATAATAAGAAGTGGTTGAGATTTTTTTGTGGTTGTTTTTCTACTGATATTTTCCCGTTGTTTTTTTCCAAACCCAAATGAATCCTCATAGGGATGCCTTAGTGGTACCTTGAGTTTCATTCTGTTATTTGAGTCATGGTAACTAGGAGTGGAGTCTAGAACACACTTTTCAGTAGCCTAAGGAATAACGGTGTAGCATTTTAAACGATGACTGGTGGTTTAGAGTTTCAATAAGATGCTATTTCACCCAGTTGATGAGTCTGAAGTAGGGAGAAACGCGTGTCTTAGATTCCAATACCGGTCACTCCAAAAAACCATTTAAAAAAACCTGTATCTATTCACTTCCATAGTATATTTTGTAGAGCAGAGAGCACTGGGTAGCTGTTCCACCACCGTTTGTGACTATTCAGAAATGGTGACCCATGTACAGCATGAAGTGTAGATTTGTCAAATCCACGCAATGAATACGTTGTCACCAAAGTTTTGATGGGGAACTAGGTGAGGGCTCGGGATGGATGCTCACTGGTGACATAAGTTGGTGATTGCACTGTGTCGTGGACTGACAGGAATTGAGATTGTGCCGAGTAACTGGACAGTAACACTCTCGTAATGAAACCTAACCACCATGTCCTCTATCCCATACTGGATCACTGACTAGCAGTTTTGGGTGTTTACAAACTGTGACGAAACAACTGTTCGGTGCATCTTAGTTTTCAGCAGTTCTAAGAATGGTATCAGTTGGCGATGAAATGCTTTTTGATACGAAATAACTAATTCTCCACAAACCAAATAAATAAATACTAAAGTTGACTATAACAAGGAAATATAACAGTTACATTGATTGGTCACTGGAGGGCAACCAATCTCATCTTATTGAATTGTGATTGCTAAACGAATTCCATCGATACTTTTGTAATATGGATATCAAGCTAGAACGCCTACCACTACGGTGCACCTGGACAGATGTCAGTTGGTTGGAGGCAATCGGCAAGAAGTCCTGGACCTTACTGATGAGTACCAACAAGCATGAAACCCAACTCAAGGACTTTCTCCCGCTCCTCTCTCAACAACTGACATCTATCAAAGTGCACCACAATGATGAAC